AGCACAGGATGGACTCACTGCTGGAGGATACCCCGATATTCTTTAGGGGAGTCACAGTCCCCCCCCCAGACCTCATGCCCTTAATGAGGCTGGTCCCGCCCCAGCTCCTAGGACAGGAAGTGGCCAAAGGCAGGCCAGTGAGAGCACCACATTTCCTCCCTCCAAGGTGATTGGTTCAGGCAAAGGCAATTGACAGGAGATGAACCAATCAGAGCTAAGGAGCAAGGATACCTGGTGGTTTTGCTGGCTACTGGGTAAAGGCCACTCTCATTCTTTTTGTGGTGGTTAAAGCCATCTTTGCCAATGTATGAGGAGAGGCTGCCTGAGGATGAAGCCAACACAGAGGAAAGCACAGCTGAGATTTCAAAAGAGAAAAATCCTTGATTGGCTTTGCTTGAGAACCTGGATCCAGCTGCTCCTGAAGTCCTAGATGTGATTAGGAACTTTTCTGTCAATGAGAAAATAAATTGGTTTCTTTTTTGCCTAAGCCACTTTGCTCCAGGTATCTTTCCCACTTAGCTCGACCGGTGTAATAGGTGACATTGATTGAGGACTGTCTCGGTTTGGATCTCTTGAAAGCGGAGCCTGAGACAAAGTTGGGTACAGGTAACTTATTGGACAGGTGATCTCTGAGCAGGAGGCAGGCTGGGAGGAAAAGCGATGTAAGGGCTCATCGCTTCCGTTGTTGCCACCACCCACTGGATGTCCCTGGAACCTCTGAGCATAGAGAACGTTTTCCAGAATTGCCTACTGAATACCGGGAGGCAGCGTTGCTATCCACTGGCACGTGCCCTCCCTGGCTTAAAGCAGTGACCTGGGGACGAGGTGGCAGGTGGAACAAGAGCCCAAAGCTGTCCGAGTTTTAATCCTGGAGACTAGGGAACGCTAGCCACAGGGCAAAGGGGAATCCAGGTGGCAGCTGGAGATCAGGTTGCTGCCAGCTGGCCCCCGGTTAGGGAGGTGATCCTGGATTCCCTGGCGGGTCCCACGCACCACGAAAGCTCTCTCAAGTGGGAGAGAGGGGGGTCCAGAGGTGGCAACGGAAGAAGGACACAGCCCAACACTGCTGCCTCTGAGACGGAGGAAGGGACCGTGAGCCAAGGAAGGTGGGCAGCTTCCAGGATCTGGAAGAGGCCAAGAAGTGCGCCCGCCTTAAGTCTCCAGAATGCACCGTGGCTCTTGATCTTAGCCCGCGAGACCCGCATTGGAGTTCTGACCTCTGGAGCTGAAAGGTCTCAGTGCAGGTCTAGCTACTGGTGTCTACCACTCCCTAATCACAGTAGCTCTTCTTCCTGTACTCATTAAACCTCTATTGAGCACTTCCTGTGTGTCTGAGGGGGACTGTAGAGTTTGCTGAGACTCGGGGGTCACCCGCACACTCAGCACCCAACACCGTGATGACAAAGGGGCAAGGTCTGTAAGCCATCTGTTAGCAGATTAATAGAGCCATAAGGACCCGGAGGTTATCTGCAGAGTTTGAAAGTTCCAGCGCCCACAGTGGCCAGGCAGGAGCCATGAGCAGGCGTGAGACAGTAGGGAGTGGTGGGGACTGCGGTAGACCGGAGCCCTCACATTCTGCCTAAAGGAGGGACCGCTGTGCAACTTCCAGCAGGTGGTTGACATGAAACAGTGGTCCAGCCGTCCAGCATTTCTATTTTTAAAGAAGAAACTCTGAAATTAACCAGGTCTGTGACATGTTCTGATTTTTTTTAACGTTGGCAGCTAAATTGCCTGAAAAATCAAAATTGAACAGGGAAGACAGCTCGTCACCCACAGACGGAGCTGACTCGGAGGTCGCGTTCTGCAGGTGGGGGAGCCTGGGCGCTGGCAGCCAAGAGGCTGGCCTGAGATTTTAGGTGGAAGCTCTCGGCTCAGCCTATTTTCTTTGGGATGGGAAGCCAGGGTCACCTCTTCTCCAGGGTCACCAACACCTGCCTTGGAGCTCCAGGCAGGGACACCCCTGGGGGCAGCCAGCGCATTCTCCAAGTGTGGGGAGCATCTTGGGGACCATATTCATTCCTGGGGTGCTTTTCAGGGGATGGGAAATGATTTGGAGGCGTGGGTGCCGGGGCCCTCATCTGCCTCTGTCTCTGCATCTCTTGGGCTCTCCTGCTCTCTCTCTCCCTCTCTCCCGCCCCCCCCCCCCCCCGTTTTTGACTCCTTCTTTCTCTTGGTTTCTCTTTGTTTCCTCTCTGCAGCCCCCTTGCCTTGGTCCCGGTCTTCCTCGCTGTGTTCTCTACCCGCCCCCAGACCCCTCTTTCTCTCTCCTTCTCTCCCGGTCTCTGTCCCCCACCCCTCCCCGTCTCTGCCACTCTCCCTCTGTCCCCTCCCACGCCCGGTCCCCCCAGGCCTCTCCTCTCTTGCCCTCTGAGTCCCTCCGGCCACCGCGGAAAGGTTACAGTAAACGGGAATGAAGCCGAGGGCAAAAGTAATCAACCCCGGGGCGCCCGCGCGGGGTGGCCCGGGCTGGCGCGCGGGGGTCGCCTGGGCTGTCGCAGGCCGCGCCTGGCCCCTCCCCCGCCGCGCGCCCCTCCCTCCCCACCCCCAGGTCCCCTCGCTGACAAAAGGCCTATCTTCTCTCTGCCTAAATGATTTAAATTCTAATCAAACATCATTTATAGTACATCTCGGAGCCGTCTCCTGGGAGCTGCTCCCACAGGAGGCGTTGCCATGGCAACCGGGGGTCTTGCTTCAGAAATGTCAGATTGTATTATTGTCTTCACACTTCTCTGATAACCTGGTGTCTCTCCCGCTCTCTCCCGCTCCCTGGCTCTCACCACCATCCCGGGGATGCGATTCCCCCGGCTCGCTCCCCTCCTGCCCGACCCTCCATCCCGCCCCCCCCCCACTCTTCCCAGGACCCCCCCCACCTCCGGCCCCCGGGGAGGCGCCCTGATGGGCTTGGTCCCCACCTCTCGGCGGCCCTCGTTCCCTCGCCGGGGTCCGGGCCTGGGGCCTCCCCGCCTTGGGAAAGGGGTCTCCCCCTTGCCACACCTCGTCTTCCGCAGACACACTCCCCCTGGGGCTTGCTGGAGGCGTCTGGTGTCATTTTATTTTGCTAGATATGAAAATGAGACACAGATTTTTCCCGGCGATGCGTGTGTGAGGGTCTAATCTGGCTTCTCAGATTTTTTTTTTTTCCCTTTTCAGGGACGGGGGAGTGAGTGGTGGCAGAAGCCGGGCTCCTGGCGGGACGCAGCCCGAGAGCGGAGCGCAGGGCCAAAGGCACTGTGGGCGCTCAGGTGCGCCCGGGGCTGTGCGTGCGGGGACGTGTGTCCGTGTGCATGTGTGTGTGCACGTGTGACTGATGCAGGCGATGCCTGCCCCAGCCTGGTTGGTGACACCTAATGGGTGGCCCTGACAATCTGGGTACCTCCTTGTTCCTCCTAAACACAAACGGGGACTTTGGCCATGATGGGGTGCTCTGCAGGGCTTCCCACGGCCCTCACCTGGCACTTCCAGGTCCGAGTCTTAACGTCCCTGCTGCGGAGATGCAGTAGCCCCGCCAATAGCCCAGAGAGGAGTTCTTCATGGAACCCTCTCCCCATTCCACAGATGAGCAAGCTGTAGCTCCACCAGGCTCTTTTGGACAGCATAAGGCTCATGATGAGCCAGCCACTGCCCAGGGCATACAAGGATTATGTCACTGAACTCTCAAAACCACAGGGGGAGAATTGTCACTATCCCCATTTTGCAGATGAGAAAACGGACTCAGGAGCAGCCCAAGTCTGTAGGACCAGTAAACAGGAGAGGCAGGATTTGAACCAACCCTGTGACCCCAAAGTCCACCTATTCCATCACTTGCCCCCAGCACTAGTAGATGTCCCTGGGACTCAGAGGATCCTGCCACAGGAGGCAGGAGCAGCAGTGTGAGGGGAGGACCCAGGGTTCAGCAACCAGACAGCTAGATTGACGTGTCCCAGGCTCAGGGAGGGTCAGGGACTTTAATGGACGCGGTGACTGAGTGGCAGTTCCTCCTGTGTGGCGGGGCGCTAGGAGACTCAGTTGACATCCCAGCTCTGCCCCTCACTGGCTGAGCGGCCCTGAGATCGTGGCCTGACTTGCTGGAACCTCAGTTTCCCCATCTGGGGATCAAAGTCCGTCCTAGCTTCCCGCCTGGGGACGAGGGTCCCTGGAGTGAGTCCCCACGAGGTGTCTGGCAGGTGGCAGCCCTAGGTGAGGCTCTGGGTGCCGCCACCACTCTACAGCAGCAGCCCCTGCTCAGCCCAGACCCAGCCTCCCCTGGGGTCCCTTTCTTTCCAGCTGCTGCATCTGGCCAGAGACCACTGCCCCGGAGGAGTCCCCGACACTGGTGCTCCGGCCCTTCAGGCATGTGGGGTGACATCCTTAGGAGATGCCAGTGTTGACCCCTTTCCTTTTATTTGCCCATCTCCCCAGCCAAGCGGCCCAGGAAGAGCATGGGTCCTCTGCAGGGCTTCCCACGGCCCTCACCCGCACCTCTGTGAGAGCTACATAGCTAGCCAGAGAGGGGACATGGCTTTCTGTGGCTGCGGGGCCCTGGGGACACAGGAATTGGGGGATTCCTAATCTTTTGAACAAGGAACCCCACATTGCCATTTTTCCTTGGGTCTCAAATGCACGTACTGCACCCTGTCCTGACCGAGAAGAGCTAGAGGTGCAGAAAGACGGCGGGTGGTCTCTCTGGTCACTGACTCCCGGGGCCTGCCTCTTCGTCTCTCTCTGGGCATTGGACCGACTCCCAGGGACAGAGAGAGAGAGAGAGAGAGAGAGAGAGAGAGAGAGAGAGAGAGAGAGAGAGAGAGAGAGAGAGAGAGAGAGAGAGACACCCGGGGCCCAGGCCCAGCCAGCGAGTCGGGGGCTCTGGCTGCCACCTCGCCGCTGTTTGTCCAGCGCCCGGCGATCGATCTGCGCCGCCTGAGAAGTCCCGGCCGCGGTAATGAACCTCCCGCTCGCCGCTCGCAAAGCACACAGCAGCCCTGGCCCCAGCGGTTAATATTTAACTGAATAAGGGCCATAAATATGGAAAATGGGACTTTTAATTAAATAAGCAGCTTTTAAAAGGGCCCTTGGGCGGGAGAGGCTTTTGTTTAAATATGATTGATTGGACGTGTCCTCTCGCTCTCCAGCTCCCTTCCCACGTTAACTCTTGGCCCTGGCCCGGAGCAAGTGGGTGAGGCCAGGCCCGGTCCTGCTGGAGGAGGGGCTCCCTGCGGAGGGCGCATGCGCAGGGGTGGCCAGGGGGTGCCCAGGGGCGGGGGCTGGAAACCCTGCTGTGGGGCCTTCCTTAGGGGTGCCCCCTGAAGCCCCCGCCGGGGACAGACAGTCTCATCCTTCCGAAGGACTGGTGAGATGCCACCCGAGCTCAGGGTGCGGGGCCTCTGCAGAACCGCGACACCCAGCTGTGTGTCCTCTCTTTGGAGGTCCAGTGGCTGCTGCTCTCTCGGTGCCTCGGTTTCCTCGTGTGTCACTTTCCAAACTTCAAAACAAAGAGAAACCCGATTGTTGTGTATTTAATATTTAGGAAGCACTTCCTAATTCATGATTCCATGCACGCCTGACCTCGGAGCCCCCGAGTCCTCCCCACTTCCTGGGAGAAGAACCTGATGCTCAGAGAGGCCAAGTAATCAGCCTGGTGTTGCCCAGCTAGGGAGCAGCAGCACTGGGGTTGGAGCCCAGGCCTCTTTGCCCCCAGCACCTGTGTCTCAAGCCCCACACAGTCCTAGACTGTCCAGGCCTGGGCCCTGTGTCTGCTCTTGTCCTGGAGCCTGTTAAAGGAGGGTGGAGTCACCTCCAGTCACCTAGGGGGAGGAGGAACCTCCTAATTTAGCAAGACCCCGCCCCCTGCACTTCTTCCTGCAGGCCGCCTCTTACCGGAAGCCTTCCTAGATGCACTCTGCCTGAGGGCAGCACTGGCCGCCAGAGGGAGCGACTACCTGTTCTCCATCGCGTCACTCCGCAATGGCTCATCTCTTCGTCATTTACACCATTGATTACCGCTTATTGATGACTTATTGCTCCAATTTTAAGATCAACTCTTTTTTCTTTTTAACATTTTGATTACGTGAATAACACCCACTTTTATTTGTTAGAAATACTCCGACCAAACAGATGGAGGGTGCCTTTTACAATGGATGGCATTTCCAGACGTGGAAATGAGAGTTTGGGCCCAGCCCCTGTGTGCCCGGTGTCCGGGAAGGCTGGGGTGAGCCTGTCAGATGGCTTGCTACCTCCGGGGGCCTCCTTCCTTGCATAGATTATGTTTAAAAAGCACCCCTTTTTCTAATTCTCCAAATATCCAATCCTGACACTCTTTGTCAATTTGGCTGAACTCTCTGAAAGTCTCCATGCCAGAACTGTGTCCCTCTCTGCCCAGGAAGGGGAGACGTTGGTGAAGGCAGTGTCCATGGGCACTGTACCAGGTACTGTTCTAAGGAGTCCCGTGTATTATCTCATCTAATCCTCACTCAGGAAGCCAAGTGCTGAGGGCTCAATGCCTGTTTGAAGATGAGCACGTGAGACCCAGAGATGTCCAGTGACTGACTCAAAATCACACAGCCAGCGTGTGTCAGGGCCAGTCCTATCCAGGTGGTCTGGCTCCAGACTTTGTTCTTTTGACCCTTCCTTCATCCCCCACCCCAAGCCCACCCTTGAGCCCAGGCTGGTCATAGAACATAGCTTCAGCCAGGGGTCAGTCAGGGCTCCCAGCCTCACCCGCCCAGCAGCAGAAGGAGGAGCCCAAGGAAAACAGAAGAGGACATCTCCCAGAGGGACTGCACCCGCAGGGGTCACGTGGAGAACCAAGAGATCCGGCCAGAGGTGGCACGTCCAGAGCCAAGTGCCCCAGCGCCAGCCCCGAGCTGCTGCCAGTTCCTGCCCCCTCCTCCAGGGTCAGCCGGGGGCTGGGCACTGGTCAGCAGGGCTCTCTCTCTGCACCAGCAAATGTGTTGCCATGGCAACTCCTCCCAGGCATCCCCTGGTTCGGGGTCTGAGCTGGACTGAGCTCAGCACTGGGGGACACACAGGGCTCAGACCGGTGCTGGTTTGGGGAGGACACAGTGGGTTAAAGCCACTGATTCCAGTCGTGGGGAGGTGACAGGGTCCCAAGACTCACTCACTCCTTGTGAGCCCAGCGCAGTGGGTCAGATCCCCACCGGAGCTCTCCTTGTCCCCGGCCCCCGCTCCTCCATCCCCTCCCCGGTCTCCCCCGTGGCCCCACTTCCTGCCTATCCCAGCCCGGCTCCCTCCTGGGCGTCCACTGTGAGCCCTCCTCCCTCAGAAGCCGGCTGCCTGGCCTGGCCCATCCCGACCGCTCTCGACCACCCCGCCCCGGGTCCAGGCTGTGTCCACACGCAGGCCACATGACATCCCTCAGGCCCAGGGAAGGCGGAAATCCAGGAGGCAGGGAGCAGAGGTCAGGGGGAGGCAGGCCGCTTCTGGTGTCAAAGGAGATTACGCGTCCGGCTCTCAGGGCTGAGGCCGGGGCCAAAATGAGCCTGTGATCCCAAGTGAGGCCGGGTCAGAGGTCGCCAGCTGGCTGCTTTGTGTGTCAATATTAACACAAGAGCCACCTAATTGGGGTGGGTCAGCCGGTGGCCCAGCCAGGACACGCCATTGAAAGGGGGGTGAGACTCCCTCGTGCACGGTGCCGGGCACTTGGCCGTCCCCTCGGACATCACGTTAACGTCCCTGCTGATGACATTGATGCGGAAGCCACAGAAGAACAGCAGCCACCACAGATCAGCGCCAGGGGATGGTGGTCTGGCTGTTGGCATCTGGTTCACCAGGCAGGCTCAGCCTCCGGGGATCCACCTCATCCTGCAGCAAGAAAGCCAGGCACAGGGGACAGGGTCATGGGTCCTTGGAGGAGGGGGCCTTGCACTCAGTCAGTCTGTCTTCTCCCAGTGCCGGGAGCGAAGATGACCATCTCTGTTTTATTAATGGGCTCAGAGAGGCATCAAACCTGTCCAAAGCCACACAGCACGTCCGGGCAGAGCTGAGTTATAGATGCAGGGTTCTCTGCCGCAGAACCCAGGACAGCACAACTTCTCTGAATTTTTAATCTCATCCTTTCCAGGGGTTCTTTGAAGTCCCCTTCTCCATGTGTCATCAGTCCTGTCTTCCTGGACCCAATGAACAATGACCTTTCCCTGTCTAATGGACATGCAGCTGCCGCCATCTACTTGGCTCAGACTAACCCCGTAGAGACTGGGGTTTGGCTCAAATGAACCCACGTGGACATGCATCAGAATCCTAGAGCCATAGTCTAGGTCCATGTGTTAAAGACTTGGACCCCAGACCTTGGCATTATTGGGAAATGGTGGCACTTTAAAAGGTGGGGCCTCCTGGGAGGCCTTTAGGCCACTGGGGGTGTGGCCACAAAGGGGATCCTAGCCCCGCCTCTTCCTCCCTTCCCTCCTGCTCTGCCACACTCTCTGCAGTCCAGTGCTGCCCACCACAGGCCCAACCTACTGGGCCATCTGATCATGGACCCGAGCCTCCAAAACCACAAGCCCAACAAACCTTTCCTCTCAAAGAGCTGATTTATCTCGGGAACTTGTTATAGTGATGGAAAGCTGACGAACACACACACACAGCACCCCGGAAACTTCACACCCTCGCACAGGTCCCAGGACTTTGCGGTGAGTAAAATCCAACATTTCTCTCCACCCTCAGAACCTACGCTCCAGGGTGAGAGGTGAACAGTAATCAAATAACCCTGCCTGTCATAATCCTGTGGAGTGACAGACCGTGGCCAGCAAGGTCTGGAGCGCTGACAAAAGCACCCTTACCTTGGAAAAGATGAGCGCAGGCAGAGTCAACACAGAGCCAGGAAGGGTGTTCCTGGGGGAGGAACAGCACATGCTAAGGCTTGGCGTGCATCTTCCCATTGCATCACACAGTGAGAGGGAGGTGGAAACCCCATTTTAGGGATGAGGTAGCTGAGGCTTTGGGAGGTAAAATCCCTTGCCTGAGGGTCTTGGGTAAGTAGGGAGGGGCAGGGCCTTGATCCTAGCCCAGGCCTGTCTGACATCATGCTGGAGGATCTTTCTGCTCTTCTGCATGGTGCTTGGAAATGCATCACATGGTGACACAAAGAAAGCGTCCCCTAGGAAAACTGCAACTGAACCTGAGGTTTGTGTCAGACAGAGGTTTTCAGTTGCAGCGGTAGAAACTCAGCCCGCACAAAATGCAGCAAAAAGGAAACTCATTATTTCAAGTAATGAAAATCCAGGAATGGAGTGCTTCAGGCTCAGCTGGATCCAGAGACTGAAATTGTGCGTGTGTGTGTGTGTGTTTGTGTGTGTGTGTGTATGTGTGTCCTTCCCTGATGCTGCTTCCTGGGCATGGACTTCATTCTCAGGCTCTGCACCAGAGCCCCCCAAAGTCCCCCACTCTTCCTTCCTCCCTGTCACAGAATAATGAGAGACTTCTCTCCACCAATCACATCAGAAGCATGGCTCTCAGTTAGTTCTAATTGGAGAAGCCTGGTCATGTGCCCATCTCAGAACCAATCAGATTATCTAGGGGCTGAAATATTCTGATTGGCCAAATGCAGGCCAAATGCCCCTCCTGGAACCAATCAATGATGCTAGGGGATGGAATACTTTGCTAGAACATGCAGATGAATTTACCAAAAAGACAAAAAAGCTCCATGCTGGATCCCCAAAAGAGCCCCAGAAAGAAACAAAAGAAACAGCCTTCCTCACTGCTTCAAAGGCAGCTGGGTTTTGAGATTTTTCCTTTTGGCTGCTTGGCCCAATTCATGGACTGGGATGAGTTTATACACATCTTATTCTATCACAGTACAGATCAAATCTTCCTCACATGTGGTTTCGTCCAGCCTTGACATGCAGAGGAAATGTGTTCATCATACGTGAGAATCAGACTCATCAGGCCCAATAGGTATCAGTCTGTTCTGTGTGGCTGTAAGAGCATGCCTGAGGCTGGGTACTTGATAAAGAAAAGAGGTTTATCAAGCTTCCAGAGCAAGGTCCATCACATGGCGGGCATGAGTACAAGAGAGGACTGTGCCAACCAGTCCAGTCCCAAGTGCCCTCATGACCTAATTTCCACCTGCCAGGCCCCATCTCTTAAAGCTCTCACTTTGCAACACTGCCACATTGGGGACCAAAGAAGGGACAAATCATATGGGAACCATCGCAGGCACCTCCTATGGATCAAGTCCAGGAATGACACCCCAGTCCTCGAGCAGCCTGTGAGTGTGCTGCGGTCATGCCCATGTTGGAGAGGAGGAGGGCCATCTCAGAAGAGAGAGCCACACCCAGAGCCAGGATCTGAACTCAGATCTGTCCCCACTGGACTCTCCATGACCACAGTCCTCTCTGGCTGTCTTGGCACAACGGGCAGTGGGTGGATTCAATGAGCCTTTATTGAGCATCTAAGATCTTCATTAGACCTTGTAGGCAGACCCTGAGACCAGGGGTCACCCCAAGTCTTTGAGGGTGACTGTGTGTGCAGGGGAGGCATCTGGTCTCCTCCAGGTCCAGCCTCAGCCTGCTGCCTCATGGGGATGGGGCACTGCTGCCCTGAGGTCGGGGCTGGCCTTTGGACCCTGTGTCTACCAGGCACAGTGACCTGCTCCCGGCAGTGCCCGTGGGCAGAGCTGACGGCTCCCGTGGTTGGACGGGTTGAACCAGCAGCCCCTGCCACCCCTGTGGCCCCGCTCCCCCGGGGGAAGCCCCGTGCACCCGACAGGGCCAGGCTGTGGCAAACCTCCTGGCAAGAGGCTGAGCTGGGGGTGGTCGGCCTGGAGCCTGTGTAGCCCAGAGCCCAGCTCCTGGTCCCCGCCTGACCCCAGCCCACGGGCTCCTCCCACCCCCGCTTTGGAAAAGGTCAGCAGGGAGGTGGGACCCGGGGCCAGCAGAAGACAGTGTTAATGGCCCCAGCACTGTCTGACATTTGGGTTTCTCTCTGTGGGAAGTGCACTAATTACTCCCGATCACTCAGAACCTGGCCTAACTACCACTTGGATTTTATGGAGTGCTTTGGGGCCGCCATTTCTGGGTGACCTCTCAAGACCACAGTGGCATAAGCCAAAACCGCTGGTCTCCGGCTGGCGCTCGGTGACGGTGCTCTGCCCACACGCTGTGCCTGACAGTCACACACAGACAGTTGCTCCATCCTCCCATTCCCCCCAGGGAGGCACCACAGGTCCTTCCTACCTAGCAGATGAGAAAACAGAGGTTCTGGGAGGCTCCCAGGCCAGGAAGACCGAAGCAAGAGCAGGGGCCACCGTGAAGCTGGTCTCCGGTTTGAGACTAGCTCCCAGCTGCACATGGCCTGTGGGTGTCCTTTTCCTCACCTGTCGGGGGTGACAGCAGGTGCTGAGGTCACCAAGGGGTGAACAGGAAGCGCTGGTACCTGCTGGTGACGACAGGGACTCCAGGGTCATTAAAGGACACACTGGCAGGTCCCCACCCCACAGGCTCTGCCCCTCCCCAGTTCCAAGGCTTTACCCCAAGCAGCTCCTGCCATTCAGAAGCCGTCACCTTCTCAGGGCTGGGGACCACTGAGACCGCTCCCTTAGGGACAACATTAGGCCAACACAGGTAAAGTCCTGGAAGCCACTTGGGGTGCCCCCAACCTGGCCCGTGTCTAAGACCCAGCCTTGCTTCCAAGGAATTCAGGGATGAGGGCCCTGGACCCAGACAATTATCCCTGCGGTAAGTGTAAGAATTACAGATGAAACAGAGGCCCACAGAGGTGAAGTCACATGCCTGAAGTCACACAGGAGATGGCTGATATAACACAGAATCCAAACTTAAGCTCCACCTATCCAGAACCCTGCGCCTGGGTGAGGGACAGTCCACCTCCGCCCTCTGCCCCTGGCAGCAGGGAGTGTGGGGGCAGGGAATGTGGGGTGCCTGGAGGCTTTCACTCTGGAATGTGGTGCCCGGATGGGCAACAGCCAAAGTCCACCCCAGCCTGAAGCTTCTTAGCGGACCCCCACCCCCTCCCGGGATGGAATTGAAGCCCAGCTGGGGCCTTTGTGCGAACTCTGAAAAGCCGGTATCTCGGCCCTGGGGGAGCCGGCCCTCGGCTCCACCCCTCCCTTTCGCAGATTCCGGCTTTCAGGCCCCGCCAGGCCCTCTGGGTTTGGAGGCCGGACCTCCCCTTTGGTCAGCTGGGGCAGTGATAACAGGATTAGCCCGGGAGACAGATGTCTTAATTAAACTTGGAGAGCGAGGCCCGTCTCTCCTCCGTGGGGAGGACAGGGGCTCCTAATGGGCCCGCGGAGGGACCGCGGCCCCCTGCAGTCCACTCTGCTCAGCCCGAGGGGTCCACCACCATCCTGCCCCGTTGAATCGGCCATTGGAGACTGAGCTCCTGGCTTGTGTGATTACCCAGGAGCCCAGGAGGAGGGACAGACTGGCCCCTTTTCCACCCTTGCCTGCCAGTTCTTGTCCCCTCATCTGTCCCCACGTGGTGCCCAGAGACCTGGCATCTGTGGCTGCAGCGCTGACCCTTGCTGGGCCCGCCCCTTTTGCACGTGGCCTTTGCAGCCCCTCCCACTGAAAGCTGGACTCACTTCTCAGCTTTGAGTGTGAGCTGCTCTCCTGACTTGACTCGGTCAACAGGATGTTGGTGGCTAGTTTGAAGCCACAAAGTATGGGGGTGTTTTGTTTCCCAGCATGACCTGGGCATTTGCTGTCTGATACAGCTTCCGGGGGCTTCCCTATGAGTCCAGCTCCCTCTGGATCGCCTGCCTCTCTTCCCACAGCCCCCTCCCTTTGCCTCCTTGCCTTTATTCCCTTAGGAAGGCCTCAGTGGTCACCCGCTCCTGGGTCCTCCCAGCCATCCAGCCGGGCACGTGGTAGGTCCTCACTAAACACTTGCTGAATGCATGAGTCAGAGGAGGGATGAACACACACAGCCCTCTCTGCTCTCATGGAGGAGAGGATGCTGAGCCGCAGCTCAGTCTGGTTTCAAGGAGAGAATCGAAGGAAGGGGCAGCAGCATTAGGAGACATCCAGGAAGTGACCCCTGAGCTGAGACGGCAGGATGACAGACATCGGTTAGGTGGGGAGGGCAGGGAAGGGCATTTCAGGCAGAGGGAACAGCAGATGCTAAGCTCCTGCAGGAGGCCTTTGGAGCCCCGTGGGGGTCACCCCCTTCTCTTTCACACCCGCGCCCCTGAGAAGATGGCAGCTGCGCCTTCCCACTCTTCCTGACCCACAGGGGGAGCAGGGTTCTGAAGATCCTGGTCACCGCCTCCACCTCCGGAGCTTCTCTGGATTTGCAGGACCCACCCTGTTCCGTCTGAGCGCAGAGCTTCCCAAGGAGGCCATTAGGAGCCCAAGGTGGAGCCAGTGGCCACGAGAGCCCCCATTTCTGGAGCTCTTGGCAAGTTCCTGGCGTGGTGACAGGATTTTGGAAACACTTTGTCTCAGACCTCAGGACTCCTGCAGAAACCAGCCCCGGAGCGGCCATCCTCTCTCCCTGTCCAGCCTGGATGGCAGCTAGCTTTCGTGGCCAGAGCCACTCAGCCTGACTGAATGGCCGCCTACGCAGGGAGATCGTCCTGATGGATTAGTGATGTCTGCTTCGGCACAGGAGTGGAACTGGGGGGACACATGCTCTCTGTATCTGCTTTAGGTAGCTCTCTGGTCGTTCTTGGTGTTTGCGCCAACTCTTGAAGGTCAACTCCAAACTGTCCAGCCAGGAAAACAGTCAGAGCTTTCTCACCAGGATTGACATCAAGGGACAAAGTTCTGGGGAGGTCACAGAGCCCAGCCAGGAGGTGGGGCCTCAGATAGGTGCTTGGAGACAGGTCATGGAGGACTCTAGTGCCAGCCTGAGGAGAGGGGATGGGGACCTCCCTTCCCCAGACCCAATGCTGCAGCATCCAGGGGCGAGGCTGGCTCCCCAGTGCTGCTGGGGTGGCCTCCTCCTGCTCCCTTAGGCCATGGGCCCCTGTCACCATAGCTCGCTTTTGTGACCCAGCATTCTCAGGACAGGGGACACCACTTGTTTATGTCTTGTCCACGGCTGCCTAACTCCTTGGCCCCCAAACTAGACATTTTCACATGGAGCCCTTGGTTGAAAGAGCCTGGGGTGCCTATGGTCCCCTGTCCTGGGCAGGTCATACATGGGGACTCCAATCCCAGTAGCCTGAAGAGGTGTCACCACCAGCTTTGTACACATGGCCCAACTGAGGCCAGCACAGGGGTGTGAGTGTCCCCAGCCCTCCTAGGCACAGCCCTGGGATTTGAACCCTGGCTTGTTGGGGCGTCGAGCCTGCTGGCCTCCTGTGTCTTGGTGACCAAGGACGCAGTTCCTGCACCTCCCACTCTCCTGGCCAGGGGCCCTGCAGCTTCCTTGGGCGCAGGTGGCCTGCAGAGGAGTGAGCTCTTACCTGTCTCCTGGGTGGGGACACTGAGCCCCAGTGGGAAGTGGGCGTGTCCGGCTGTTGGTGGGGGGGACGGTGGCCCCCCAGGGGGTACGGGGACAGTGATGGCCTGGGCCGCCGGCCCTCAGCCCACCCGGCACCTCGTGCTCCCTCCCCACTTCTCCTGCCCACCGATGACAAGTGAGAATGTCGCGACCTGGGGAGAAATCACCTCCCGTCTCTTCACGGCACAGCTCCTCCCGTCCGGACAAGCTGGTGACTCTCAGCTACAAAATAAGGGGGTGGAATTGTCATTCAGGGAAAAAGTAGAAGGTGACTCCCAGCCACAGCCACCACAGACAGGCTGTCTCCCAGGTGAAAATGAGAATCTCCGTCTTGTGAACTCGGGGGACGGGGGGGGGGGGGGGGGGGGGGGCTTGCACCACTGCAGGGTGGCGAGCGCCAGGGTGGGGCCGCACCCGGCCTAGCCAGCTCGGGGGCTGGAGGCTCCTGCCAGAGATTTTTTTTTCCATGGGGGGAGATCCCTAAGGTCCCCACCTGTGGGTGCCCACCTAGAGGATCCTGGGACAGAGGCAGGTACCCAGCACCCACTGGCTCTGCAGCCGGCTGTGCCTGGGGAGTTCTTGGCACCCAGTCTGTGGCTTTCTGGAAGTTTCCGTCCCCTCCCCCTTCACACAGGCATGTCCAGGGCCTTCCACAGGTTGGCAAAGCAGAGGTCTGTTTTGATCTACTTTCTCTTTCTGATTTAAAATTTCAAACGTTACAAGAAGCAGTTCACCAAGGACAGACCCAGCTATCTTCCCCGCTCTCTAGGTAACCACTGCTGAGGAGGTTTGGTCTCCAATTTCCCAGAATTCTCCATGAAAACCAAAATTTTAAAAATGCACATGCGCGCGCACACACATACACCCTCAGCTGTTTGATCCTCACCCAGCACATTTATTATATGGCCTTAGGCATATGTGCGCTCTCTCTCTCTCTCTCTCTCTCTCTCTCGGAACTGGGGAGTGAACTCAGGGACACTGGACCACTGAGCCCCATCCCCAGCCCTATTTTGTATTTTATTTACACACAGGGTCTCCCTAAGTTGCTTAGGGTCTCACTAAGTAACTGAGGCTGGCTTTGAATTCTTGATCCTCCTGCCTCAGCCTCCCAAGTTGCTGGGATTTCCTTGTCTGTAGGATGGGCTCAGTTAACCTATTGCATGCAGCCTGCAGTAAAAATCACATACATTAGCAAACAGTGCAATGTATCCACAGAGAGTCCAGAACATATCAGCTATTAGTTTTTGAGTAACAGACTGTGAAGTGGGGTCTCTGTTCCATTAGGGGACCTCGGGTGGAGGAGGGTGAGGGTCGGCATGCACCCTTCCTACCCCAGCATTTAATCAGACCAGGATCCTGGGCTTCACATCTTGTGAGTTGTTTGGGGAAACAATTCTCCTGCTTAAAACAAAACATACCCACACACCAGTTTTAAGCCACGAGCTCTGGGGTCTGGGCAAGGCTGGTGTTCCCAGCAAGTCCCCAGCCAGAGCGGAATTGCTGCAGTTCATGACGGAGCCGCTGAGCATGGCCACTAGGGGGCGCCCCTTCGTGCCATCCTCCAAGGGAGCAGATTTCTTTAGTGGATCTTTTTGCACCAAAGAGAGGCACCAAATTACGGGTTTATACTGGGCAGAAAACTGGGCTGATTACAAAGGGAGAAAATGTAGACGCATGTGGGACCAGAAACGAGGCAAATAATGGCTCCTGGGCAGGAAAGAGCCTCATTGTCATCAGAGTGAGCTTGTGACATTGTTAAGACCAGAGGTCCCAAGGGAGAGCAGAGATGCCCCATGAGGAAAAGATGCCGAGAACTGTCCTCAGGGGCCACAGGAAGGCGAATACGAGTCTCCGTGGGAGGCAGTGGCCATGGGAGAGGCGGGTTCCTAGCGCAGATGCAGCCATGGATCCTGGGGCTCCCCCATGCTGGGCCCCAGGGCT